AACAGCTGAAATGATACTTGGTGAGGAAACATTGGAGAAGGATTTCTGTCGTTTGCTATAGGGACTAGTTCTTGGGTTCAGTACCAAATCTACAAGTTATGAAGCAAAATAAGGTACACTGAACCCTTTGAAAGGCTAAGCATGTGGTATGTTACAGTAGACTGTCAGTGGAAGGGAGTAGGAAAGCACATTTAGGCAAAATATAATAGCAGCCAAGAAGATTGTGTAGACGAGTTAAATATCTTTTGCAATTTGATAATAAATCACCGAATAGCTCAATTTATAAACTGGCAAAAGGAGTACAGATAATTGAAAAGGATCTTAAAAGATACATTAACATCATCCATCATTGGGGAAATAAAAATAAAAACACAAGGAAACATCACAGCAATTAGGATGATTACTGCATACAACATCAAAGAAGAATTCGCCCCATCAAAGAAAAATTCAGAACAACAACAACAAACTCCAGAACACTATGGAAGTTGGTGATGACTTGGAGGACTCAAAGCCTTTGTGCATGTCTAGTAGGAATGTAAAAGTTAGGCATTGTGGTGGCTCTTCAACAACAACAAAAAATAATAAAAACTTTCACAAGCTCCAGCTACCCCACCTCTTCACAGATTCTCAGAAGAACTCAAAGTAGAGACCCTAGTGCATTATTTTTTTGTACAGTTATTACTATCAGCAGCATTCACACTAATCAAGGAGAGACACCACCCAGGGTTCACCAATGGAGAGATGGTTCAATAAAGTAAGGTATGTATCCTAAAGCAAATGAATTCTAACCCATGGTACAAAATCATTGAAGACTTTACACTAAGTAAAATGAGCCAGATACACAGGCAAATACTGTCTGGGTATTCCTATATAAAACCCTTTCAGTTGTCAGATTCAGACAGAAAGAAGAATGGTGGCTTCCAGAGGCTGAATTTCCCCCTCCAAAGCTCATGAATCAGGACATGTTGTACTCTTATTCAGTTTTTTTCAGGAGTAGCTTAATTACTATAGGATAGCCTTTGGTAAATGCAATTCAGCGTTTCTTATTTCTTTCATATACTCCCCTATGCGACATCCTCATGGCACAGCCAGGGCTCTTGGTGGATGCCGCCACCATGTTTTAGCACTTCCTAGCTTTCAGATACACATGAAAGAAATCTCTGTCATTTGTAAAATGTCTAGTGAAAAATGTTCTGTCATAGTAACAGAAAATAGACAAAGACAGCTGTAGTTATGAAGGGAAGGAAAAGGAAATGAGCATTGCTTAATGAGTCCTAACAGGTTAAGGTGACATCTTTTCCCCCTCAATGTGACCAATGGCATCTGCCTTGACAGTTATATGGAAATATTTTCATTTATATGATGGTCTTTATCACCTGGTGATATATTCCAAGACCCCTAGTGCCTTCCTGACACTGTGGAGAGTGTTGGATATCACAACTTAATTGTCTTTCCCATCTCAGCTAAACACCATAGAAATAAAACTTTTTCAGTCTTGACAGTAAAGCTAGTGCAATTTTGTTTTTCCTTTTCCCACAAATTGACTGATAGAATACCTGTTCTTTTAGCAGTCAATTTCAGAACTTACTTCTTTTCTTTACTTATTAAGTCAATAACTTTTTCCTTTTCACTTTAAGGAAACAGTTCTCAACTTCTTTTGGTTCATCCTAATAACCATCATGACTACCCTTACACTGCGAAGCTAGTGTTGAGTGAAATGATGATGAAATGTGGAATTTGAATGCTTGTGCACTGCACAAGAAGTGTGATATTACAAGTCCATTTGATACACTAGATGGCTTCAGAGAGACCAGAGGGCAAACTGTATATGTCCACTGGACACACTGGACATAAGGATGACTCCTGTCTCAGGTGGGATAGAGCGAGATATGGTACAAGATTTGATAGTAATACTCAGAAGGCTGTGTAGAAACACACATGGTTTATTTCATTAATTTCCATTTAATGCTTTCAGACCACAGTTGTCTGAGTATATCTGAAATCATAGGAAGTGAAGCCTCAGGTAATAACTGTGGTAAATCTTCTTCTGTGTATAAAGCCATTTTAGATCATAAATGTGTCAATGTCAATGTCTCACATGTTGTTTTAAATTTGAGGCGTGATGTTTCATAGGTATTAATACGCTTAGTGTTATCTTTGGACAGCAAAGATAGTCAGTGGTGGTTTGACTTGCAGAATTAAGTTGGGAGCAATGTAAACCTGGAAGTGGTCTCAGTCACTTGCCTTCTCTCTCAATTCAAGCATTCCAAGTTGATGTTGGTCTCCTCACTCACACTAATTTCCTCTGTATCCCAACTGTTCTAATACTACCAAGTTTTCCAGGGCTGATTAAAGGAATATGCAAAGTATTTCCTGGTCACCCAAGCTTGTATCCATTTTCCTAAACCTCCAATTGCCCCTAGTCATTTAGTGTCTTCATTTTTGTCACCATTTTATGTTTTAGAAACACTAAAATGTACTGAAAAGTTGACAATACTCCCAGCTAGAAGGGGTAGCTCTTAAATCAATCATCAACCCATCAATCAATTTATCTTTTAATTGTCTGTGAAGATATAATAGTAAGATGAGGTCAATTCACCAGCACTGAATGGTGAACTTGGTTCTTCTGTTCAAGTCCAGTGCAGGCTGCTCTCAGAATGAGATCAGAACTACTACTGATTTGGATTCTTCAGGTAAGCTGAAAACTATCTTTTGGAATACCAGAGAATTACCACATTATCTCCTATGCCCCACCCCAATACATGTTAGCACATGCATACTCAAGCACATTTACCTGTACACGAATAACAAACTCAGACATACCATATGTAGAACTCATACCAACAAAGAATTCACACACACATTGTTATCCTTAGCCCAATTCAGAGTCTTCACTTTGTAGTTAAAGCTGCATATTACTTTGACTTGAAATTATATTTATTAGTATAGAAGACATATGAACCTATACTGTTTGAACAAGATCAAGAAGGCTGAATATTATTTAACATTTTCAAACCATAATAAAAAACATTGATTGTAGGTTTTCACTTCAACTAGGAAAATCGCAGCTTCATGTTTGCAGTACTAGACTAACATAGTGCCTCCACCAATCCTGTGGTTCATCAGTGGATAATTCAGACAGATATGCTCAGGTCAACTTGACCAACATCATCTCAAAACAAAGCAAAAGACAGAGAAAATTACTTTGGCTAGTTTGTACTTGCAAAGCAATTGGGAAGACACTTTTCCAGAGTGATTTGGCAAACATCTCTGAGAATTTGAGAATGTAACTGAGGTTATGGAGTTGACAATTCATTCCTAGCATTATTGAAATCATGCAGAAGAGTTAAAGTAATGATGCATGAAGTTGCAGCAGAAACAGGAGTGGCACACTCTTTTCTAGGGGCTCACCAGAATTTTTATATCAGATAAATTTACTTTCCACAGAGAAAGAAATAACTACATTGGGAAATAAGGATAAATAAGCAATATATTTTTTTCTGGGAGAACAACACAAGGCCCATCTCATTTTCTTAGCTACAAACTCTCTCATGAATTATACACCTATATATAAAATTAAAGACAAAACAAAACCCACTCTCTACTTTTACAAGACGTTCCCAATGGCAGATTGGAATTTCCACAAATAGCCTTTCTTTTCCCAAATGCCTAGTTGGACTTAGAAACATTAGAGCCTAGATGCGGATTTCAATCTGCTGGTGTCAGAAGCCCTTGGGTTCTCACTGAAGGTGGGTAGAGATGATAGAAACTGGACCCTCCAATTTGAGTTATACATTGCTATGCGTGTTTATGGCAATGAGCAGCTAGCTCCTCTGGTTTTCTATATTTTCCAGATAGACGAAGTTATATGTATGTATGTATGTCTTTTATATGTATGAGTGTTTTGCTTGCACTTATGTATGTGTATCATATACATGCCTGGTGCCCACAGAGGCCAGAATAGAGGTAGGGATCCACTGGAACTGGAGTTACAAATAGTTGTGAGCTACCATGTGGGTTCTGAGAACCAAACCGTGGCCATCTGCAAAAACAACATGCTTTTAACCACTGAGCCTTCTCTTCAGCCCCAGATAAAAACAGTTGATATAGTGTCATGGGGTATGCCCTGATTTGTTTCAGCTGTCAACTCGACACAGCCTAGAGTCACCTGAGAGAGTCTCAGTGGAGGGATTGACCACAACAGAATGGCCTGTGGCCATGGGGTCTGTGAGATAGTCTTGATTGTTGATTGATGTAGGAGGGTCCAGCCCATTGTAAGAGCCACTGTCCCTAGGCAGTGTTGTATGAGAAAGCTGGCTTGGGCATGAGCCAGTTAGAGAGAAGATTTCCTGCAGCGTTCCTGCTTCCGTTTCATGCCCTTTCTTCCCTCTTGACAGACACGGGGAATGTAACAGTGAGATGAAATAAACCCTTGCCTCCCAAGTCACTTTTGGTCGTGTTGTTTATCAAAGCAACAGAAAACACAAGAACATTCTCTTCTGGGTCCCTTTCTTCTTTACAGATTGTCCTCCTGAGTCCCTCCTGTTCACACTCAGTATTTATTAAGATATAGCTGTATTCAGGGCCACAAGATAGCTGTCAATCAGGAAGAAAACAGTTTTCAAGTGTAACAGCCCGAATACAACTGGGGCCCCTCAAGTGGGAGCCTTCGTTGAAAGGAGCCTGAGAAGTCACATTGTCACTCTCTGTCCTCCACACACACTCGCTTCTGTCAGCCACTATTGAAATTATAGGGCAGAGATTCCTTTCCTGTCCTTTTTTTCTCTCTGGTGCATTGAACTGAACCCAGGGCCTCCCTCAGCCCCCTCACTGAGCTGTATCCCTAGACCCGTTGTTCACTCCATTGTCAAACGCCACTCTCCCCATCCCCCAAACCTGCTCAGGACACCCTGTGTGGTTTGGGGAGTATAAGTACCCAAGCAGAGAGTGTTCCAGGCTCCTGGTGCCTGGTCTGAGGAGACTTGAGAGGCAAGGCTCACCTGGTTTAAGTGTGCAGCTATGAGCGCGGGTTCCCATATTTTAGAGTTTGAGCTCGCGGGGCCTTTCTCTTTCTTGGGTGCCATGCTAAGGATGGGAGGTGCATTGGCCTCAAAACTGGGCTGAGGCTCGGCCTGAGCGTCCCCGATGCCTTGGTAACCGAGGCCACGCCCAGTTCCTGAACGGATCTGGCACCCTTCCCCCAAATAGGTTCCCGGCCCTCAGGTCAACCGCTTCTGTTTCCATAGTAGCGGAGTTTCCCAGGTGCAGCCACCAAGTGCGCCAAACTCCAAGAATCTCTGGGTAAATTTGATGATTTTTCCAACGTGATAAACTGGCCTCCTGATTTCTTTATTCACTTCCTCTTTCTACCTTACCTCTCCACTTCTCTTGGGAGCTGAGTCCGGTCTGAATAAACAATGTGCAGAAAGTCAAAATTATTCACCCAGGCTTCCTCCAAGATTTCTCAGGTTCTGCCAACCTGCTATGGAGAAAAACAGCCCAGTCAACCTAGACATCTCTCAGGGAACTGACACTCTCCCTTCTACCTTGCCTCTTGTCTGTTTGTCTGCTCTGCCTAAACAGCCCCCACTTCCTTAAAAGGGTGTCCCGATGGCAAACAGGATCCGGTACACACCAGACATTCATTAAGGTGTCCTGGTTAGACTGAGACCTCAAAATGATGATGACCTTAACATCTGTTGATTCGTGCTGGGAACTGAACCCCGGTCCTCTGGAAAAGGAACAAATGCGTTTGGCCCCCAAACCATCTCTGTGGCCCCTAATGTGACTTTACTTTTATGTGTGTACCTGTTCATGTGTGCGCAGACATGTACATGTGGGTGCAAGCGCACATGGAGTCCAGAGATGTTTCTCGTTAACTTTTCTTTAAGTTGTACAAATTGAGCAAAGTGTTTTCTCCCACTCCACTTCCTTTGTTTTGTTTTTTTTTTTTTTTGGATACAGATAGTGAATAAAAAGCACTTCTCAAAATAATCTTTCACAATTAAAAAAAATCATTGGTACTTACAGTATGTGTATTTTATTTCCTGGTGTGTGTGTGTGTGTGTGTGTGTGTGTGTATGTGCGCGCGTGTGTGTGGGTGTGTGGGTGTGTGGGTGTGTGTGTGAGTCCCTGAAACATTCATACACCCTGTATCTGGAAGTCTCTTCTTTTTGTCACAAGCATAAAATGACTGATGCATCGTGACGTCAGAGGAGTTTGCTAGAGAAGGGTTTTCCTGAGGGTCTCCATGAGAGCTAATGAGGGTGTGTCACTCCTTCATCCTCATAGCATTTTCTCCAACATTTTGTTTTGCACTAACAGCCTCTTTATGTTACAGGATTAAAACTGTTTTCGTATACTTGCTTAAAAGTAAGAATGGATCTCTTACAGATTGATGACATCATTCTAAATCTTGGTTATATTTCTCACAGTTTAAGTTGTTTGGAGAACTGTGATTTTATGAGTGAAGAAATAAAATATTTAGTGGCATTTAAGTTCATGTTGCATTTAAAAACTCACTACTGTTTATGTGTCAGGTTTTATTGCCAATCGCATCTCTTCTTGAATGAAAGCATACTACAAAGTAAAGCTCTTTACTTACCACAGCCCAGTCAGGCCGTTATCAGATGATTAACAGTGTAAGGTTCAACCTAAGAAACAGAAACAAAAAGAGAAAAATGGAAAAGGAGACTTTTAAAATAAAGGCATTATTTTTAAATTGTGAAGAAACAAACAGTATCTTTTCCTAATAAGCAATAACTATGCAACCCAGTTTTTGAAAAAATATGTGTTTTGCCTGAATAGTGCTAAGTACATCACATTTGTCCCTGGTGCCCATGGAGGTCAGCGGAGGGCACCAGATGCCCTGGAACTGCAATTGCAGATGCTTGTGACCCACCATGTGTAGAACTGCACTCCTGTCCTTTTGCAAGTGCAACAAATGCTCCTAATGGCTGAGCCATCTCTCTAGCTTCAATCCTAATTTTAGCGACAGTGAAGTGTTTGTAATATTTATCCATATAGACATGTTTTTCATAAAACATCTCCTTTTCTTTATTCCCATTGTAAGAGTTTGATTTTCCAGCTTCCTTTATCCTTGGATATGAAAATGTGACTTAGAATTACATATTATTGGATTCAGGCTTGATCCTTAAAACTATTTCCCTTGTGCTTTCAGACTCTTTCCCCAACTGCCTAGATATTGTGACATAGATATCCTTGACTGCCTGAGTGATTGGTGTGGTACAGAGGTCTCTGCCAAACTTTTCTCCACCTGGCAGATTTTCTTGGACTATTAAGTAGATGGGGAATGACTTCTCTTTAAGCTTGAAAAACATTAGGTGTGTTGCAGCCACTGGGCTTTTGCTAGCCACTTCATTAAGCAACTTAGGGGAATAAAAGGGTGAATTTCAGCTTACACTTCCAGGTTACAGTTAGGTTCTGGGGAGAGGGAGGATCAGAGCCGGAACTTAAAGCATCATGTCCACAGTCAAGAGCAGAGAGAAAGTCAAGTATGTTGGTCTTTGTTGGCTGTTGTTTCATAGTCAGCTAACCCTCTCTGCTCTCATACAGTTCAAGGCCCAGCCCATGAAACGATGCTGCTTATATTTGGGGCCTGTTTTCTCACTTTAATTAACAACCGAGACAATCCCCCCATTAGTCAACTGATCTAGACAATCCCTCAACTGAGACGTTATTCTCAGGTGATTTTAGGTTCTGATGAGCTGATATTTAAAACTAACCATGTCACCATCCTGATGTTTTCATTGAGATTGTAAGAATAGTAGCTTTTCTTGAGGCAGTCTGAGGAAGCAACATTGCTACTTTTTAAGTAGACAACGTGTGATACAGCTACCATGAAAGGCAGAAAATTCTAGTATCACTCCTTCACTGATGCCACCGTGCTTACCTCATGCTTAGGCAGAACATACTTTGGATTCTCCATTCATTTGATAAATCTCTTATTTTAAATAATTGGTGGGCTACAAACTTGTTCACACTATGTCACATACACACAGGACAGTTTTTGATTTTTTTTTAGAATACAAATTCATTGCTTAGCTATCTATATTCATTAATTATATTTTTGCTAATGTTGTAGAGCAACTGAGCTTTTAAAAGATCCAAGTACATATTTCAGAATGAAATAATGCACTTCTAGTGGAATGTTTTATAGTTTCCTTGATAAGGTGCTACCAGAATAAGCTTGAATACAGAGGGTTTTCCAAAATTAATTTAAAGAATCTCAAAGGTTTTTATTACAGAGTGCCTTTTGGTCGGCCTTGGCCCTGTTCATTATTCTAGAGAGAGTGGTCTTCTAGATAATTTATGGTGGAAAATAGGAAGACATTCTATAGTGACCAAATTTATAGGAGATTTCATCATGGAATTGGTCTGTTTAATTTCAGAAAATAGGTGTGAATGATGATGGTCATAGTTTAAAAACCAAAGACTATTCAGCCAATAGGAGGCTTTGCCAAGAGCTGAAAAATAAAAGCATTCCCATCTGTCATACATTTATGAATTGGTATAATAAATTGTTTCCCCCACTAAATGTAAGTTGAAAAATTCAAACATATACTTCACTACATAAAGTTTCCCATATGGCAGTGGCTAACACAAAACTATACTACATGGAGAATTTTCTCTCACATTGGCAGGGGTGCTCTTGGTTTGTTTGATTTAGTATTTCCAGTAAGATTTTGAATTTTATATGTTTAAGTCAAGGACAGCCTACTTTGGGCCTGGGCTGTCTCTTTAGGGTATTGGGCTTGCAAAGAACATAATTTTTGTTCAGTCTTATACTTTGATCTTAGAGTGTTCAGTTAACTCTCACTCATATGTGGACTCAAACATACTTCTTCTTACACTTGACAAGGTCAAGCCAGCTGTTGACACAGCTAGTATTTCCACCGTGAAGAGGTAACTGAAGGAGCTATGCAGTGAGTCACATCTGAGCCAAGATTCCAGGTAATGGGCATCTATTCAGCATACATTTGGTTATGATCTTAAAACATCTACTGATTTCTTTAGTTGGCATCCTGTACCTAAGGGCAATTTTATTGCAAATGCTTGTGTTTACCATGCCACCTGTGCTTCTAATCTCCTAAACAGGAAACTAGAATGTAGTGTCTTTGGATTTTATTGTCTGTAAAACCGAGGACTAGATTTTTTTCACAGCTATAGCCCAAGACATATGGAGGGTATTACACCTGGGTCCACATCAGCTTCCTATTCAGTCTTCAGTGCCATCCAAAGTGTTGACTTTAATCTTTAAAGCTCCTTGTTGTTCAGCCGCATGTTACTTTAGATACTGCATCTCTCCCTGTGTATCATGGTGGAGATTAAAATCAGCTGCAGCACTTTCTATTCACAGTCCCTAGTGGGTTGTGGGCAGCCTGGGAGGAGGATCACTTTCTGAAAAACTTCCCCAAGAGCCCTCTGCTTATGTCAATGATAAAAGCAATTATTTCGGAATTTGTAGCTTGGACCTTGAATGCTTTGTTACATATCTGTATGTCTGTGGGACTATAGTTACGTGCTGCTGATTTTCATGTTGTCTGTCGTGAGAGAGTTCAGGACACCAAATCTATTTCTTGATGAATCAGAACATAACAGTTGTGCATATTAAAAATAGAGCTATCATGCATCTGTTTCGAATTCAGTAGTGTGGGATTTTTATTTCTAGTGTTCTCTCACTCCTCTAGTTTTCCTTTGAAACTCATTTTCTATATCTTCAGCGAAAGAATTTGTCCTTAATCCTTTGGGGGACAGTTTCAAGCTCCATAATAGACACTAAGTCACTGCTGCAAGTGCTTGGTACTATTTGATTAATGTCTAATCAATGTCTGTTACTTATAAACTTTACTATGTGAAATCATTTTATGTTTTATGCTGTCAAAAGTTCAAGAGCTCTGAATAACATGAATGTATTTCAGTGACACTACTGCATCCTAAGAGACAGCGGGGAAATGCTTTAGGAAGGAAAAGTGATTGGTGCCAGGACTTCAAGGAACTGATAGTGAGATATGATGGCTTGATAGGGGTGGGTTCTACTCCTCCCCCTTCCCCAGTCCTCTTCTCCACTTCTGTCCCCCTCGGAGCTCTTTCTCTCCCTCAGCCTAACTCCCATCCAATCCCAAAATATGTAGGG